CAATTTCTTTTATAGCCCCACCTCTCTTAATTCTTTAAGACATTTATATATTGGGATATAATTTTGAAGAGAGTGTTTATATATTTCCCCTTCTTTTTTAGTCACATTAAAGAATTTTTCTATGTCCTTTCCATTTTCATTACAATAATTTACTATTTCTTCATAATGATGAATAAAGTATGTAGTTAATGGTACTTTTTCATCAGGGACATAGTGGAAATTATTCTCCCATCGTATTAAAAATATTTTAATTATTCTTTCTCCATGTTTAATATTATTTGTGACTATTTTTTCTCCATTATAATATCGAAGAATTATATTAAGGTGAAATTCTTCGGCTATACGTTTCATAGTCTTCTTAGTCACAGTATTCCCCTTTAACTTTGTTCTGATTTTATCCATTTCAGTCTTTGTTAAGGTATGACTGTTTTCTAAACAATGAATAAAACAGTTTTCTATTTGTACTATATCCTCTTTACTATAGATTTGATATTTTTTGAGGATATGTTCTAGAGGTGCCCAATGTTCAACCAAATAATAATTAAATAACGCACCTTCTATTCGTTGGCGTTGAGGAGGTTTCAATATTGTTATGATGATTTCATTTACTAATTTTCCAGGAGGGATATTTAATTCATTTTCTCTATCATCATAACTCCTCCAAAATTCTTCTATACCAACATCAAACCCCACACACTGATTAAGAAATTCTTGCGGTTCGATATTTTCTAAGTTAACAATAAAACGCCGCGTTCTTCCACCAAATACTAATTCTACTAGGGGAATTAAGCCATATTCCTTAATTAATTGACTTATTCTATAGGTTTCCCCTAACATACCACGCCATGCTTGCGCAGTATTTTCTAGCCCAAAATCTCTTTTTCTGATGACCGTAAATTCAATCTCATCATCAGTAGTATTTTCTCTTGCTATTTGGAGGAGTTGTATTTCATTTTCTGTAGGTGGTACTCTATCTAGAGTGAGGATATCTAAGGGGGTATAATCCTCTTCATGGTTTATTTCCTCTAGTAGAGCAACAACCTCACCATCAGTTAAGGGCTCCTCCATCATTTGGGCATCATTAGGTGGTTCAATAGGTGGAACAATAGGTGGGGAATTAAAGGGGGTTTCTTCAGGGAGACTCATAGGGGTACTCCTAGAGGGGCTTACAGGGGGATCCATGGGGGGTATAGGTGGGACGTTTTGTGGGGATTGTGTTTTTCTCCCGCTTTCTCTACGATTTCTAACACGATCCCCAATCGTTTCAAAACCATAAGAGTCATGAGAACTAGTTGTTGTTTTTTCTAGCTCCCTATGTCCCTCAGAGAAAGCTACATCATGGGAATTAGTTGATGTTTTTTCTAACTCGCCATGATGTCTCGACCCTAAAGGATTAGAAAAGACGGTTGTTGTTTTTTCCATCTTTTCATAATCCTTTTTACTCATGGTAATTCGTCGTCTTTGAGGTCGACGACGATGATCATCGAGAGTAATGCCATCCTCTATGGCTCGATGATCATTGAGCAGTTGTTGTCGTCTTCTTTGTCGACGACGTTCCTGCTCTTTTCTTTTAATATTAAAAATATTATTTTTGTTTTGTCTATAGGACATTAAAACTGAATGAATATTTTATTTTTCTTTTTAAAAAATTAAATCAATAAATTACAAAAAGTGTAACAAATTTAATATATTCAAAAAGTGGAAGAGGTGCCAAAATATCTTTTATTACTTCAAAAATATTTATAATAAGAAAAATTATGAAAATAACGAAGATATAATACTTCAAAAATACGTATGAAATGAAAAATATACGAAAAGAGATGAAAATAACGAAGATATAATACTTCAAAATATCTTCATTATGAATTTTACGAAAATAACGAAGATATAATACTTCAAAATAAGAAAATATCTAAGAATAGTTCAAAAATATCCAACAATCGTTCATTTTAAATGGAATACCTCAAAATATCTGTATCTGTTCTAAAAATATCTGTATCTATTCTAAAAATATAAATATAAATCTATTTATAGAAAAATGGTATTTTAAAAACAATAATAAAAAAAATAAAAATGTTATATAAAACAATAGTAATAAAAAATGTTATTTATCCCAAAAGGACCAGATTTTCCCACTGTGTATATATGATGTATCACACTATTGTCAAATTGTACCATAGAAAAATATTATAAAAAGATATAATTATAATTCAATAAATTTAAATTTAAATTTAAATAAAATGAATAAAAATATTTAAATAGAAAATAAATAAAATAGTTAATTAATAAATGTTAATAGATTTTTCATATATTCTTCCTAGTTTAGCGGAGAATATTCCCATCTATTAACTGTTTAAAAAACAGTAATCTTTTTCTTTAACTTATCATTTATGTTTTTCTTGCAAAATGAGGAAAGCACTTCTTTGTTTTATTTTTTCCTATTAATGTCTTCTCATCCTTCTTCTGCTTAATTCTTCTTTTTAACCTTTTGTTTATTTTCTGTCTTAATTTTAAACATTTTCTTTTTCCTTTTTTCTTAATTTTATGAATGAGAGAAGAGAGTATTTCATTAACATCTTATTATTATGTTTAATTTTCTTTTAGTCTTACCCACACTTTAGTACTTCATTTCCCTTGGTTAATACATCCAATATATATTTTATAA